GGAAGGCGGGAGGAGCTGCCTGCCAGCTCAGAGGCCCCGCAGGCGCTGCCAGGCCCTGGGCTCCGACCCCTGGCTCCGGAGCTCCTGCAGCAGCCAGGCTGTCAGCTCCAGAGGCTCTCACAGCCTTCCTGGGAGCCCAGACCTCACCACTTCCATGCTCCAGGCCTCAGAGCTGAGACCTTTCCCCCTGAAGTGAGGTGTGCTTGGCGGGAGGGCTGGCAGCAGCATCCTGGCACACACGGCCACAGCTGTCACCGGCAGTGAGGACACTGTCCTGCCCACTGAGGGGAATGACAGCAACAGCAACCCAAGGCCAGAGCTACACTCACAAATCAGTGTCTCTCACAAAGCCTCAGCAAAACCACAACAAAACCAAGGGAAGAGAGGGGCTGCTGCCCGGCAGGAACTCAGAACTCACTCTTGGCTGAGCGCTTCTCAGCATGGGAGAGGAGAGCCAGGCCCCTCCAGTGGCAAGGGACACACGGAAAAGTACTGCCCTTCACATCAAGTGTCTGACTCAGGATGGCTTGAAATCCCAGCTGCCTACTGATCAGCCCCTTTCTCAGTCTGGCAGGCAGAGGGAACACAGACCCCTATTCCCAGGAGGCCAGGAGCCCCTGAGAAAGGGATATTCCAGGCTCCCATGGGACCCCCAGCAGCCTCTGGTCCACTCACACCTTCAGCAAAGCCCGAAGGCTGAGCATGAGCCTGCAGAGAAAAGGAGGGAGCAGATGTCAGCCCAGACAAGGGGGGCAGACAGGAGCAGACGGGCAGCACCTCCCCAGGCAGGGAAGGGCAAGCTCTGCAGCTTTAAGAGTCCTTCCTCCCTCCCAGCCCACAGTGTCAAGGAAAAATCTGACACGTTTTTTCTGGGGGATGTTAATGGACAAGCTAGAACAGCCAGTTGCCTTTTCCATTCATTTTCCACACAGCCCCCCGGGATGGCTGGGAATGAAAGAGCCAATTGTGCCCTGTGGCGGCACAGGTAGGGCGGGAACCACAGCGGCCCCGGGAGCCCAGCACGGCCCCTGCACACCTCGGGAAATAACGGCGGAGGGGAGGGTGCCCAGGGGCACAGTCCCACAGCTGTGGGGCTGGCTGGCAGCTACACCCCAACAGAGCCAGCCCGAGGCACACAGCCAGATCCCCCCAGACTTTGTGAGAAGACAGCAGTAGCAGCACAGCTCCCGTGTGTCCCTCATGGCCAGAGCACCTAGTGCCACCCAGAGCCACAGTGGCACAGTGGGGAGAGCGGTGTGGTTTCAGAGCTGGCAGCACCAGGAGAAGCAGCTCACCCCAGCCCCCAGCAGCGGGGAGGGTCTGAACCAGCCCCGAATCCCTGGGGGCGCAGGAGGCCCCTCTCCCTCTCCCCACTCAATACCAGGTCTGTGTCTCACAAGCTTTGCTTGGAAGAGACAGAGCCGGCCTTTTCCAGCCCCGCGCCGCCCCAGCCCTGAATGGCCGCCTTTATGTGGGAGCTGCTGTCACGAGCCACGCTCTGGCAACCGCAAACAGCGGCGAATAGCAGAGGGGTTTGTGTTTCCGAGCCCGCCGCGGCGCCCGGGCTGACGCAGGTACGGCTTCCGGCACGCCCGGCCCGGGGCACACAACGGCACCTTGTTCCCTGCCAGGAGCAGCAGCCACTGCGGCCACCCCTGCCCCGTGCCCTGCCCGGGCAGGGGACACAGCCCAGGCCCCGGTACGTACGTTTGCCACCACCCTTGAGCAGGCTGCCGAGGCTGACGGAGGCGGCGCCCAGCAGCTCGTTCCTCAGCGTGTGGCAGATCCACACCTTCAGCTCCAAGTGGCTCTGAGCTGTGACATTCCTGCAGAGAGCGGGGACCGGGATGTCACCGTGGCCTCATGCCTGCTCCGTGCTTAGGGAGCAGGTAGTGCCACAGGCAAGGAGCAGAGGAATGTGGGCAAGGCTATGGGATAATGGGAGACCTCCCTCCCACCGCCCTCCCAGCCTGGCTGTCTGTGGCTCTGTGACACCTGAGTGTCCCCAACAGCAGGCCACACAGGGCCAGCCCCAGACAAGCCCCACAGCAGGGGTCACACAGACTCACAGGATGAGAATCTCGTTCCACAGCAGCTCAGAGACCCCCATCTGCTTCCCTGTCTTCTTGGTCTCACTGGGCAGCCCGTCGCTGGCCACCTCCACGTAGCAGTTCATCCGTGCCGGGCGGCTCTGGGCCTTGGGCTTCACAGACACAACTGGGCAGAGACAGGCACAGGGTCAGGCTTGCAGGACACCCTGTCCCCTGTCCTTGTACCCCACCCTCCCCTTACCAGTCAGGGTGCCACGACTCACAGCAGAGTGCTGGGAGAGGGGCAGTGGGGAGCAACACTCCTTGGCTGGCACCAAGCCTTGACCATGCCTGTCCCCAGCTTCACCCCTCTGAGGGTGGCAGGACTGTCACTGTCCCCACAGACACCTCCCTACCCCAGGGCACGGGGGCAGCATGGGCCGGGGCACCCTCAGGCCAGCAGTGCCTGCGGAGGGGCAGAGCTGGATGTGGCTCCGAGGGGACGCGGCTCCGGGCGCCGGGAGCCATCTCGCGGCCACGGGAGCACCAGCGCGGCCCCGAAGCCACGTCCCCACGGCAGCCGGGCAGGGGGAGCGGCCGAGCCCAGCCCATGGCACTCAGGGCCAGCCCCTGCCCCTGCTCCCCGCCACGTGCCGTGTGCCAGCCCGCAGTGCAGGCAGAGCACACACCACATATTCCTGGCAGGGGCAATCCCAGCGAGGCAGCAGGACCCACCTTTCACGGAGAGCGGGGACTTCTCACAGGGCGGCCCGGCCCTGGCCCTGCTGGAGCTGGCAGCGGCCATGGCATCACCCCCAGCTGGAAGCAGAGAGAGAGGAGATCACCTCAGCACCGCTCCCACGGCACCCAGAGAGACCAAACACAGCCTCATGCTGCTGCAAGTGCCCAGCATGGCAGGGACATGGGGACAGGGCTGGGCAAGCCCGGAGACATATGGGCTCCCTCCCTTGATAATCCAACCCAGCACCAAAGGCAGCGCTGTGTCCATGGGACAGCTACCCCAGCACGGCAGCGCCACAGGCTGAGCTGGGCAGTGCCACCTCCAGACACCCCTCTGGGCACCTGAACCCCTGACCCACAGGTCAGGGCTTTTGGGGGACAGAGCAGCCATCAAAACCTTGCCCTGAGGGAGACACTGACTCACCACACATCACCAAGGTGACATGGCAGTGGCACTGGCTGGACAGAGGTCAGTCTGGTCACAGCATGGGGACCACACCTCTCAAGGGCAGCCCTGGTCTCATTAGGGTACCAAATCCCACAGGACCACTGAGATGAGGAAAGACCTCCAAGACCATTGTGTCACCCCCCGAACAAGGACACTCTGTGATCCCAGGAAGGGTGGCAGGACACGTGGCCAGGGACTCTGCCCAAAGCAGCAACCACAGAGTGGAGGGATGAGGTCACACATCACGCAGGAGCACGAGCTGGGAGCGTGGAGTCAGCGTGGGCTGCTCCAGCCTCCTCCCTGCCATTCCCAGGAGCTGCACAGGACAGGGGCCAAGGTCACAGCCCAGCATCTGAGCCAAGAACTGCCTGGCCGGGACCACTGCCAACCTCCCCCTCCCCTGCTCAGGGGAAGCAAGAAAAGAGGGAAGCAGGAAAAGATGGAAGCAGCTCCTATGTGGGAGCCGCTTCCCTGCCCTCTCTTTACATCCTCCTTAAACTGTACCAAGCTCCATCCCACGGCACATTCCAAGTAAAATCCCCTCTCCCAGGGCCTCTGCTCTTCGTGCCAGCACAGCAAACCTGCCTGGCACCCCAGGACCTGGCTGTGCCTCGTACAGTCCCCCCCTCTGCCTGCAAGTCCCCATTTGGCACTGCCCGAGCACTGTCCTGGCTCCATCCATCAGCAGCCAGGGCTCCCGGGCACATCCCAGCTCCTGCCCCTCACCATAAGGGGGTCACTCCCATTCCAATTATCCCACCCACAAATCACCCGACCTTCCCTGAGGATATCGGATACTCCTGGTTCTCATGTCCTCAGCTCCACATGCCACGGATTCCATCGGGGCCCTGCCCCTCCTGTGCCAGCCCGTGCCCAGCCCTGTCCCGGCTGGGTTGTGTCCATCCCTCTTCTTTCAAATCCTCTTCTCCTGACCCACACCATTTCTCTGTCACTCGTTCTGACACCCCCCGGCCACGTCAACAAACACCTCCGGGCCCGCAGAAACTCCTCGGTGCGCCGTGCCACTCCCCGGGCACAGCCTTCCTGTCCCGCGGCCTCTTCCCCCCGCGCACCCCTCAGCCCCTCAGCTGAGTGGGGCCGCGACCGGGCCGAGCCGGGGCGCTCCCGCATCCCACACGTGGCGGGATCCCCCCTGGCCAGGCCGAGGCCTCCCTTCCCTCCCCGGCTTCCCGTTTCCGACAGCCCGGCCTAGCCTCCGGCTCAGCCGCGGGGCCGCCGCCCCGGCAGCAAACACCGAGCCCGCCCCCAGGACCGGCTGCTCCAGCCCCGCAGCCCCGCACAGAACCGGTCGGGCGCTGCGGGCACCGCGCAGAGGAGGCGGAGGCCAAGGGCCCTCTCATGGCTCCGCTGTCCCGAGCCGGTACCGGCACAGGCTGAGCAGCTCCCGGCAGCCGGAGTGTTCCACCAGGCCGAGTCCGGCGGACGGACGAGAGCGCCCCAGTGCTGGGCCGGGAAGCCAAGCCAAGCCAAGCCAAGCCCAGCCCAGCCCAGCCCGTCCCGTCCCGTCCCGTCCCGTCCCGTCCCGTCCCGTCCCGTTACCGGCAGCCGCTTCGCTCCCGCTTCCCGGCTCCAGCTCCCGCCGTCATGTGACCCCGGCCCGTCACGTGACCGCGCCGGCCGGAAGCGCTCCCGCGGCACGGCCGCCGCTCCCGGAGAACCCCAACTGAACTACAACTCCCGGCGTGCCCCGTGCCCGGACCACAACTCCCGGTGTGCTTCCCGCGGCGCTTCGACGGCGGCCGGGGTGGGCCATGGGGCATGCAGACATGGCGCGTGTTCCGCACGTCGTGGCCGACACGGGCGCGTTCCTGAGCGCAGCTCCGCTGCAGGTACCGGGGAAACACCGGGGAGACACCGGAGGGACGGGGGGTACAAGGGGTTACGGGCCGGTGTGACGGCGCTGCCCGCAGGACATCGCAGACGCGCTGTACACCGTGCCCGAGGTGCTGGCCGAGATCCGCGACCGGCCCACACGCCGCCGCCTCGCCGCGCTGCCCTGCGAGCTGCGCGTCCGCCGCCCTCGGCCCGAGCTGCTGCGTCTCGGTGAGTACCGGGCTGGCTCCAGTACCGGCTCCTTTCCCCCGGCGTACCGACCCCACGGCCCGGCCCGGCCCGGCCCGGCGCGGCCCTACGGCCTCGCTCTTCCCCGCCCTTAGTGACCGAATTCTCCAAGAAGACCGGGGACTACCCGAGCCTCTCGGCCGCCGACCTGCAGGTGCTCGCCCTCACGTGCCAGCTCCAGGCTGAGATCGACGGCCCCGGCTGCCTGCGCTGGGAGCCGCAGGACAAGGTAAGGACGGGCACGGGCATGGGCGCGGGGTCCCGGTTCCAGCGCCCCCGCCCACGGCCCGCGCTGCCCCCCAGGTGCGGCTCAGCTCCACCCCACGGCACCCCGAGGCTCCCCTGCACCTCGCCGGCTTCCACCTGCCCAAGGTAAGGCACGGGGGAGGACGAGGGGCTGCGGCCGCTCGGAGCCCCCGGTGAGGGATGCACGCCCGTGCTGTGCCCGCAGCACAAACCCGCGGCCAAGGGCCCGCACCAGCCCGGCCCCGGCGACCCGGCCCCCGCGGAGAGCGACGAGTTCGGATCCTTCCTGTACTGGCGGCCGCCCCTGCCCAGCATCGAGGAGGAGCTGCGGGAGCTGCTGGTGAGAATCTTCTGGAGCCTTCTCCTGTCCTCTTTCTGCCATTTCTGGCTGGCCTTTGCCAACCCCTCTGTGCCACCCTGACCATCTCCTCCCCTGCCATGGCCCAGGCCATCTCTGATAGCCCCGAGCCCCTCGAGGAGCACCGGAGCTCTGCAGATGGGGCTAGTGCTGGTGAAGAGGAGGAGGATGAGGAGAGTGATGACGAAGGCTGGATAACTCCCAGCAACCTGAAGCAGGCCCAGCAGGACACGGGGCACTGTGACACTGCTCCCATAGGTATCCAGGTCGGCTGTGTCACGACAGACTTTGCCATGCAGGTGGGTGCTGCGCTGCAGCTGGGGCTCAGACCTCGGGGCTGCTCCCACCGAGGCAGGGCTGAGTCCCTGGGCAGGGGAGAGCAGCTGTGGGACAGCTCTGTGTGTCAAAGCAGCAGCGTCTCAGTCCCGAGGCCTCTGCAAAGCCTGTGGGGCTCTCACTGCCCCAGCTGCTGGCATGTCCCCGTGTGTCCCTGCTCTTGCAGAACGTGCTGCTGCAGATGGGGCTGCACGTGCTGGCTGTGAACGGGATGCTGATCCGCCGGGCCCGGAGCTACATCCTGCGCTGCCACGGCTGCTTCAGGTGCTGGGGCTGATCCTGGGCTCAGCCCGTGTTCCGCGGCCCCAGGAGCTCTGAACCCCGTGTCCCCCCCTCACAGGACCACCTCGGACATGACCAAGGTCTTCTGCCCCCACTGCGGTAACAAGACCCTCAAGAAGGTGGCAGTGTCAGTCAGTGATGATGGGAGTCTCCACATGCATTTCTCCCGCAACCCCAAGGTGCTGAACCCCCGGGGGCTCAGGGTGAGTACCTGGACAGAATCCCAGAGTCACTGAGGCTGGAAAAGACCCATCAAATCCAACCTGTGAGCTTTCCTCACCTTGTGAGGCAGCCCAGAGCACTGAGTGCCATGTCCAGTTAATTGCTTGAACAGCTCCTGGGATGGGGTTTCCACCACCTTCCTGGGCAGCCCCTTCCCCTGTTTAACCACCCTTTCTGTGAAGAAATTCTTCCATTGGGATCCCAGGGATGGGAGCCCAGCCTGTGGCTGGCAGGTTGGAGGGAATCAAAGCAAAGTGAGAGCATCCTCCAGACGTTGCACTTGGACCCCAGGGCTTTCGGGCTTCCCTGCTCAGTTCTCCAGAGGGCTGTGGTCACCTGGAGTCGCTGGGAGCCGGGGCTGATCCCCTGTGTCCCGCAGTACCCGCTGCCGGCGCCGCAGGGCGGGAAGCACGCCAACAACCCCCACCTGGTGGAGGACCAGCGCTTCCCTCAGCAGCGCCTGTCCCGCAAGGCCAGGCAGAAAACCAACGTGTTCGACCCCGATTACCTGGCCGGGGCCTCTCCCTTTGCCGAGAACGACGTGCACAGCCGGGCCGCACACCTGCACCTGCGCGACGCCGCCCTGGGCGCCGGCCGCCGCCGCCTCAACCCCAACGCCGTCACCAAGAAGTTCGTGAGGAGGAGGTGAGGGGCAGGACAGGCCCCACCTGCAGGACCCACCTGCCCAGGTGTGCTGGTGGCTCTGCCAGAGCAAAGTTTCTCCCAGTACCTGGGCACGGGCCAGGCCATCCTGTCCCCACCACGCTGGTGCTCAGAGAAGCCACCGTGACTGGGGTGATGGTCACTGGGTTTGGGGAGGGCCCAGCACGGGGGAGGGCAGGGTGGCTTCCCTGCCCATCCTTGGGCACCCCCAGGCAGGGGCTGTGTCACCCAATAAACGCCAAACCCCAAAGCACCGTGACTTGGTCCCATTTCTGCAGCTGCCTGTGCCAGGGGAAGATTTTCTCTGAGCCTCGAGGGATGAGGAGGCTGGGATAGAAGAAGGGAGGATTTCTTGGCTCTTTTGCCTCATGGGATAATGAGCTCCAGAAGGACAAAAGGCCAGGGCAGGGGGTTGTGTCCATCCCTGGTGCTGGGCAATGCCCAGGGCTGAAGGGGGAGACTCTGGGGTAAAGCTTTTTGGATAAATCTGCTGAAATCTTTCACAATTGACTGCTGGGCCCAGCTCTTGCTGCAGTTTCTCCTTAACCCTGCTGAAATTGTTCAAATTAAGGAAATACCTGATAGCAGCTGTGGCCCCTGGTCCTGGGGAGGTCACGGGTTGCAGGGTGGGGGCAGCCCCCCAGGGGTTACTGGGGATCCCCACTTGATCACCAAGTCAGTGAGATTCCCAAGGACCTTTTCCTGCAGCAGCTGCAGTGCCCCAGGCATGGCTCTTGGAAAAACCATCACAAGACTTTACACTGTAAAATGAAAACTTTCATCGTTTATTCTCGACTGCAGCTGTTTACAGAAATATAGTTGCGAGTATACAAATGTCCCAATAGAAGCAAAATATTTTTTTTTTTTAATATTCAACAAGTTATCACAGGAGAGCTAAAAACATAGATGCAAATAAAATATCCCCTCATAGACAAACTGAAAACACCGGGAATCAGTGCTTGGAAAACCCACCTACGAAAGCCATATACACAGAACTGCACGAAGGAGTATCTGGTGCTACTTTCACATTGCAGGACACGGAAGAGGCAGCTCAGCGGTTGAGGGTGCACCCAGAACATCTGGCAGGCAGGGGAGAGCCCACCAGAGGTGCAGGGACAGAGAGGCTGGAGCTTAACTCAGCATCAACTCAGATGGAATTAATTCAAACTGGCCTCCTTTCATCCAGAATAAAAAAAGTTTCAGGAATGCTGCAGGCTGCTAAGGATACTGGAATGGGATCCCAGTTGTGCAACACCTAAAGAGCCACTTCTAAACAGGAACTTCCCCCTGGACACGTTATCCCAACATGGCCATGGTCCTGCCCAGGGCACTGGGTCAGATCCAGGACCAAAACAAAGCCAAGGCCAAACCTGGACCCTTCCCTAGGCCTAGAGCTGGAATGTGTCACAGAGGGCTGCTGGGTGTGGGAGCCTTGGAACCTGAACAGAGGGGTCAGAGAGCAGGGAATCCCGGGATCCCTACACAGACAATGTCACCAGGCAATTTAATGAAGTGTAACAGCAAAAATGACAACTCTGGAAAAAGCAGAGTTCAGCCCTGCAAATTCCAAGAGAACAAAGCAGGATATTGGGTCTCAGTGTGGCGGAGGTGATTTAAGAAAAAACTCTACCAGGACAACACTGATCCACTCATGACAAATTCCAGTGGAACACAGATTTGGAATTGAAAGTGATGTTGGACACAATACACACTATTCATTGTATGACCTGATTTAATGGCTGGAGCTGTGTCAGGGGAGGGTTAGGGTGGAGATCAGGAAAGGTTCTTCCCCCGAGGGTGCTGGGCACTGCCCAGGCTCCCCAGGGAATGGTCGTGACCCCAAAGCTGCCAGAGCTCCAGGAGAGTTTGGACAACACTCCCAGGGATGCCCAGGGTGGGATTGTTGGGATCTCTGTGCAGGGCTGGGGTTGGACTGGATGATCCCTGTGGGTCCCTTCCAGCTCAGGATATTCCACGATTCTATGATTCTTAGGGCTTAATTCCTCACACAAACAGCAAGAAAGAAATCAGCATGAGTTGTGGCATGTTGTCTCACGGACAGAATTCAAGGGGAGCTTCACTGGCTTTCAAGGAGTTCTCTAGATTTTGACTGTTGCATTAATGAGTCAGTTAAAAAAATCCGTTTAGATTCCTGCCCTCATGGGAATAAAGAGAAACGACAGAGGAGCTTCCCCTCCCTAACCCAGCACAACCAGGGACCTTGTGCTACACAATAACATCGGACACAGCCCCTGGTGTCAGCACAGCCACCACCACTCCCTGTCTGCAGGAGCTGCTGCTCCAGAGTGACTTGAGGGAAGCTCAGGGCTGCAGGAAGCCCACCCTCAGCCTGGGTGTCAGTTCTACCCTAAACCACATCTGCAAGTATGAACTAAAAGATATAAAAATACAGAAGTGGCCACAGCTGCCCCCAGCCCACAGATCCCAGTGAGGTTCCCAAGCAGAGCAAGTTCTGGAGCCACATCACCAACAGGACCACACGTCCAGGACTGAGACGTGAGACACAGCTACTCATGAGTTACTACAAAAACCTCCTACTGAGGGAAAGGAATATTATTTCATGTTTATAAAAATGTAAATATAACAGTATTCTATGCATGTGTCTACTATTATTTATATATAATAATCGGACTCCTCTATATACATATATATAATCCTAGAATATACAGGCAGTGCATATTTACATCCCTATACAGACTGGGAGAGGAAAAGTCTCTCCTGTGTAACCCCCCGAGTCCCCCACGCCCCTAGAGAATTTCACAAGTTCCTTTTTGCAGGAGTTTACCCCCTGCTGCATTTTTCCTTGTTTCTAACACGTTTATCCCATTTCCAGCGCTGACCTTGGTGCCTGCCTGGGGCACCACAGCTGGCACAGCTGGTCTGAGCAGGAACACAACGTGCTCACAGGCTGCCACCAAAGACTAAACAAGCCCAAATTAAAACAAAGCCCCTGAACAAACACAGCATCCCACTGCTGCTTCCTTTTAGCTTCTACAGAATGGAGCGGCCCTAAGCCCCCCCAAACACAAAACCCACCAATTCCTTGAAACTCACTTTTCTCAGTTAATGAGAACTCACCAGTGACCAGGATTTCCTGTTCTCGCCTTCCACCTACAGCTCAGAGCATGCCAAGCAACTCCCTCTCCTCTCTCCTGCTTCCCTCACTCACATCCATGGCTGTGCTCCCTCTCTAAGCAGAGGCACAAGAAAACAGGAATAAAAATCCATTCGCACATACCTTCCTTCTAGAAATCAGATTCTAAGTCAAAAGAGCAATGGAATCTTTAAAAAATAAAGTTCAGCTTATGCAAGTGAGGGAAGCTGCCCAGACTTGGTGCTTCCAGTAAAAACCTGCCACAGTTATGTTTAACTGCTCATGCCTTGTTTAATCTCAAAACTACATGGGAAGCAACCACCCTGTCCGTGATTAGAAGTAATCACAACCACTGATCAGAGAGTGGTTATGATGATCCACTTCAGAACAGCCAGCCCGGAATTATTTCTTGAACCAGATTTGTATTAAAGTAAGAGCAAAGCGTTTGGGCTTGCTGCAAGATCAAGCAGTGAGGAGGCAATTAATAACAAAACAACTGTTAGTTAATGAAGCACAAAGCACCAGTAACTCCGTGCCAGAGGAGATGTTCAGCTCAAACTGTGCAGGGTTGGCTCTGTGGTTTCTGGGAGAGCTCTGGGCACACTCAGGGTAAAAGCTGAGGGGACATGGTGGGGGTTGGCAGCTCCATCTCCCTCCACTCTCACCTGTGCCCACAGATGGGTGCTCCGGGACCCCCCAGGGATGCTGGATTTACACAGACTGACACCTCAGGATCCTCTCTGGCACCCAAAGGGCCCAGACACGATGCCAGTGCTGCGTGTGCTCCTGAACACAGGGGTCGTAGAGAAGCTCTGCTGCCCAACCTCGACTGCTAAAAATGTCAGAAGTGCATGTTCAGGCCCCTGGTAAAACACAGGCGTGGCTCGGGCTGTGCTCCCTGCCCTGACACCCTGCAGCCTGTCCTGGAGCTCTCCTGGGGCTCATCCCAGCCCTGCACCCTCAGAGCTGCTGCCGAGCACGCACCAACCGCTGAGCGACCTCTTCAGTCACACAAATACTTTTTGTAACCAAATCACATGTTCAAAGTGTTGTACATTTAAACATTGACCTAAAATGAACAGGTAAATTTAACACGAGGAAAGGAAGGTGTTTCCAGAAGGGAAAACTGGGATAGCACAGCCCTTGGTTGGTTTTTTTGTGTTATTTTTTTTTTTCTTTCTTCTCTTCGTAAGTGACCTCAAACATGCCCACAATTCAAACATATCCTTCCCTGGAGCTGTGGCAGGCTTGGGATGAGGTTTCTCTTCTGGGCACTCATCCTGTTCCATGGAGAATTGGTCCCTGGTGACTTGGCACTGACCAACAGACAGATAGAGCCCTTCGGAACAAGGAGCAAACTGAAGCAGCACGCGAGCGAATCCATCCTTCCTGTCACTCCTCCCGTGTCCAACAGCTCATCCTGGGACACACATCCTGCAAACACCACCAGTTCCTTTCCCACTGAGTGCCCGTGGACTTCCACGGCCCTCTGGACGTTGTTGGGTCCGTTGTTGTCAGCCTGAGCAGCCCCACACAGCACCTGGGCACTGCTGGGGGCTGCTGCTTTCGTCTTGTGAACCACTACGAGATGTTGGTAAAGTTTTGTCTTAGCAGGGGAAAAAAAAATAATAATAAAACACAGAAAGAAAAAGTCTAGGTCGGGGTTAAAGCAGCTCTGGACATGATGCAGCGGGGAATTCTTTCTGTCCTGATTAAAATTTCCAACGTTTGAGCATAATCATAAATTAGGAGTTAAAACACAGAGGCGCTAATAATAAAATATTAAATAGGCAATGAGAGCAGAGAAAAGCTGAACGGCTCATTCTGAGGGAAACCCCAATATTTCATATTTTATATAATCCTAAATGCCTCTGGGTTTCCTGGCTAGGCTGTGAGTGAGGGACACACCAAACACAGAGCAAAGCTTCTCGTGGCCAGCTGGACCAACGCTGCCTGATGGAATGGCGAGAGATGAACACGTTATTTATGTTGCAAAAAGTACTTAAATACTCAATAAAGACATAACAAACCCCACCCCACCCCACTGTTATCAGACGCCACGTTGTGGTAGAACATCAGACAAACTCACAAATTTACCACAAAAATGTGTGGCAAAAAGAATATTTTATATATATGTATATATATAAATTTTTTATATTTATGCCAATGTACTCACTCAGTACAAATAGCAAAATAGTTATACCATTTCCTAAATACAAAATATAGCTTTCCAAAAAAATGAAACACACATTAGATATAAACCATCCAAAACTTGAACGATTGAAAACTGTATTCAAAATTAAATGACCCAGAGCAGGTCTCTTTCTGAAAAGTTCCCTTCATATCGGCAAGAAGCCTTACTACTGAAAACGTAATTCAATGCCTCTCAATGAGAGAGAGAAAGAGAGAGACAGAAAGAGAAAGTGAACGTCGTGACAGACCAACAAACGGGGGGAATCCAGGAAAACCAACAAAAACTCTACACGGCTCAACTACGCACACCAGTTAAGGGGAAAACACACAGTAAACAGACTCGAGGAACTTAAAAAAAAAAAAAAAAAAGAAAAAAAACATTTACAGACTGTTCTTTTGTTATTTCAAATAACAAAAATGAAAAATGACACCAGCTACTCTCTACCGAGGCGGAACGGGGAGGAACATGGATCTGAGCGAGGCTCTAGTGAGAGATCACACACTGTCCGGAGAGTTGAAGCACCCAAAAAAATCCACATGCCTCACAATACACCTGCATGGTCTGGAGTGGGTTGTTTGTACATTCGGTAACATCAGTCAATGGTTTATTCCTTGATTAAACATGACAATCTAGAAACCAGACTCGGGGCTCGGTGGTAGAAAAAGGAAAAAAATCACTTCAGAACTGCGATGAGCTCCATGTGCTACAAAGATGCAACAGCTCAGGATGAAGTGACCTTTTAAGAAGGCTTAAAAATGATGCAATTTGCCCCCTACTTGGAGTAAAGCCAAGCTGAAGATTTCCATCAGTCACAGCTGGAAGTGGCGGGTTAAGGGGGATTCCTGCGTTTAGAAGGTGGTGGAGAAATTGCTTCCTCTCTCCTTACTCCTTGATTATTTGTCAAAGCTTCTACTGACTAAGCAATTTACTGCCAAGGATTCCTAAAAGCTGTTTCTTTAGCTTTAAAGCCAGTAGGATATTTATGTCTTTTTTTAAAAAACACAATACAAAACTCAGGAAGATAAGGAAAACCATGGAAAGAATGGAAGGGAGAAGGCTGGTTTGGGAACAGCTCATGAGGCTTTACAGAGCTCTAACCCATCAGTCAGAACGAGAGACACAGAGGAGTCCCTTCCTCAGCCACACAGAATGCTCTTTTCAAGCTGAAGGTGTTTTAGAGAAGATTTTAAGATCAGCTGGAAGTTCCCCTTCATTTCTTCATTTTGAGGAGCCACCAAACCCTTGCTCTATGTACAGCTCCACGTAAGGGATGTGGAAAACCGTTAATCCCATTCTCAGATGGGAACTGGTTATTTACAGCAGCAATTCTCTGCTTGGTTCTTACAGTTCTCAATACTTTCAACTCATAAGGGGTGGGTTTGGCTCTCCTGCTCCGTGTCAACCGAGGGATCCCTTCACTGACTGACAGCCGAGTCACGGCTCAGGGCAGAGGCAGCTGCTGCTTCTGCTGCACGAGCTTCCCGAGGGAAAAAAGGGATGTCAAGAAGGAATGGGAGGGAAAAAGTAAACGTGGTAACATGGATTACCTTCCAACAACAATAATAACTGACCAGATATGCTTTAAATTCCAAGAGCCCCCACTGTAATGAGGTTTATGAACCTGGTAACAGCCCAACCCCATGCCCCAGTAACACAAAGCATAACTCCTCAGCATTATTGGCACTATGGAGCCCAAACTCCATGGTCATGGCCTCAGGTCTGCCACTGGCCACACGTGTGCTCTTTAAAGAGGCCACTTTTCCACAGAAGCAATTGGTTCCACGCAGCCTAATCCAGAGTTGGAAGGTCTGAGAGGATCTGGGGAATCGTCACGTTTTTTTCTTCACGGAATTTCTGCATGAGAAAACAAGCAGAGAAGTCACAACTAACCACAGTCCCCTCTTCCTTCTGTGCAGTGGCTTCATCTTCGGGGTGTTCCTCATGAGCAGGCACTGAATTGGGGGTGAGGAGTAAGAGAAGCTCTGGAGAGACTCCAAACTCCAATCGCAAACCCCTTTAGATTATGGAATCAAGTGCATCACTTCAGTGAAAACTCAGGGGGGATTTAGAACAAGGACCAGCCCCAAGTTACACACCACAACCTACACTGGACTCCAGAGTCCTCCTGGTTCTTGGTGCTCATTTGTAGTCAAAGGCTCTTCCCCCCTCTGAAAAAGGCACCTTCTAGAAGCAGAATGTCTCCTAGCAACAGCTGATGCTGTTGGCTGTTTCTAACACAGCCTCAGCATGTGGCACACTCAGGAGCTGCCACATTCCACCAAAACTTGTTTTCACATTACGTTATTGTAACCCGGGGGAAGAGTTCAGATTTGAGGTGCTGTTTACTCAGTAAGTCTCAAGTTTTTTAACTACAGTCATGTTTCAAAAGGTTTTGATCTGCCAAGCTGCCAGTGATCCACTCTCCTCCCTAACAAAGTACCAGACTGCCACAGATGGCAAAATGTAGGAAAAATGAACAAGATACAGTCTCAACTGTTTCATACAAGTTCTGACCTCTGGCTGGGTTTAATACCTTCATTCTGGTATTACAGTCCTCATTCAGCCTCACTGATGTGTCAGCTGACCTCTAAAGCACGGTCACACACTGCAAGGTACAAATGTACTGACCAAAGGCCCTGCATGGCAGTCCAGAACCCACACACCCCAAACTCAGCACTTACCTGATTAAAACGAGCCAGCCATGTTGTTCCCCTGGTTCTGCAAGGACACGAGCAGATCGTCGATCTTCTCCATGTTCTGGTTGGTGGCCATGGCCGAGGGCAGCGGGGGGGTCTCGGGGAGCTGCTGGGACAGCAGCGCTGGCACCGCGGGCTGGGCCTCGCCCTGGGGCTGCCCGGGCTGGCCCATGGCCATCAGCTCCTCGGGCAGCGCCGCCGCGCCGGGGGGCAGCAGCTGCCCACAGTCTGGGGACAGAGGGACACGTCAGTGTGCTGGCACAGGCCAGGGGCTCCCACAGCAAAGAACAGGGCTACGACCACCAGCCGTGCAGCACCGTGAGAGCTGCTGCAACGTGCTGTAAGAAAACCTGCACCTCTCACTGCTGGGGCTCACAGGCACCCACAGACCTCTGCACACAAAGGATCTACAGCCCACAGAAGTGGGCATGGTGGCTGGGTGCTGAGAGGAGACAGGGAAGAGTGCAGGTTTGTACAGCTAAGGACACTTTAACAGACAATTTTCTGAACTCTATAGCTTCTAAAATCCTTGCTTTCCTTCAGTAACGTGAAGAGAGGCAATGCGTGTATTGTGGAAACCAAAAACAGCAAGACAAATACTCACTTAAAGAGAGCACCGTCACTCCTAGAGTGGGTATTAGGGAGGGACTCTTCCCTGTGAGGGTGGGCAGGCCCTGGCACAGGGTGCCCAGAGCAGCTGTGGCTGTCCCTGGATCCCTGGCAGTGTCCCAAGGCCAGGTTGGGCAGGGCTTGGAGCAACCTGGGACAGTGGAAGGTGTCCCTGCCCATGGCAGGGGGTGGCACTGGATGGGCTTTAAGGTCCCTTCCCACCCAAACCATTCCCTGTTTCTACGGCAGCTCTCTGTACTGTAAGCTCAGCATCAGGCACTGGCCACTTACTGTTCTGGATGCCAAACAGGAATATTCCTGATGTCTGCTGGGACGAGGCAGGGGAATTCTGCATCTGGTTGATGGCACCTCCGGCTGTGTTGTGGAACAGAGGAGCCTGCTGCTGGGGAGGAGAAGCAGTTCCTGGCATTCCTGCCATGCTGTTTTGGGAGGAGTACATGGGGGACTGCTGCAGCTCCGGCTGGCTCATGCTGTTCTGGACAGACAGGGCAGACATGGAAGCTGAGGAGATGAAGAGGGTGACTTGCTGCTCTTGAGAACTTGGGGACCCTTGGACCAGCTGAATCTGGGGCGAGTTATGGAAGATGGTTGGCTGCTGTGCTTCGGCCTGGGTGGAGCCAGGATTCTGGAGAGGAGACACCGTGGTCTGACTCTGGAATTGCATGGGCTGCTGCTCCTGATTCATCGAGGCCATGTTGGACTGTGGATGAAAAATGGACTGGCCTTGCTGCTCCTGGTTGGTAACCGGGTTTTGATTTGGATTGAAAATCAAGTTCTGCTTTTGGGAGGCCATTGTACTCATTGCATTTTGATTGCTGAACATCATGTTCTGCTGCTGCTGCTGTTGCTGCTCCTGAGATGGAGGGCTGCTCTGGATAGCAACAATCGAATGCTGAGGCTGGAAGATGGCTCCTTGTTGGTTCTGAGGGATGGAGCTGGACTGGATGGAGCCCAATGACACCTGGGACTGAAACAAACCCTGCTGAGCAGGCTGAGTCTGGGGCTGCTCCTGGGGAAGCATGGAGCTCTGGATATGAGAGATCTGTGTCTGCTGCTGGAAAGAAGTCTGCTGTTCAGTGTTTGTTGCTGTCTGAAGAGGAGAAATGGGATTTGGGCTTGTAAAGAATGACATCTGCTCTTCCTGAGTGGCCGGGTTGCTCATGGAACTCTGGGAAAGGAACATGTTGGCAGACTGCTGGTCTTGAGGCACCGAGGAGCTCTGCAAGACACCCATGGCATTCTGTGAGTGGAATATCGGGGGCTGCAGTTGGTCAGAGGAATTAGTGTTGGTCTGGTTGTGGACAATGGAATTTGAGCTATGAAAAAGGGATCCTTGTGTTTCCTGGGATATATTCTGAGTGTCACCAATAGGGTTCTGAGAGTGGAAAAGCTGAGCCTGTGAGTGTGGAGACTGCTGGATGAAGCTTCCCGACTGAATGGACATCATTTCTCCACCTTGCTGGAACAGACCCCCGCCCTGCTGCTGAGTCCCACTGGCCTGGACACTCATCATGCTCTTGGTCGACGAGAAGAGATTAACCTGGGACTGACTTTCCCCACTGTGCTGCATCTGAACCATGGTCTGAAACACAGAGCTCTGCATCTGTTTGCTCTGCCCCGAGGCCTCCTCTCCCTCTGCAGAGCTCGAGGGCTGGAACATGGCAGGGCCGTTGTTGGACACCGGCTGCTGCGCGGGGGCGGCCGCGTCGCCGCCGGACACCCCCGGGGAGGAGGAGAACAGCTCACACTGCATCTGCATGTCCTCACTGCTGGACAGGCCCCCCATCATGTGAGACGCCTGCTGGTACACTGGGGACTGCTGCAGGGCCCCGTTCCCCGCCGTGCTGGAGGAGAACAGATCCGACTGCATCTGCGTGGCCGCCTGGCACATGTTCTGCTGCATCCCCATCACCATGGCTGCTGACGTGTCCATGGCCTGCTGCTGCTGCTGCTGCTGCTGCTGCTGGTTGGACAGGGCACCTTCAGGCTGGGAGTGAACGTTCTCAGCTCGCCCAGGCAAAAGGTTCTCCGCTCTGGAATGGACAGCTGTGTCTGAGGAGGAAAACATCCCGGGATTTACACTGTTCTGGATCTGGCTGACCTGCTGAAAGATATCTGCGTTCAGCTGATCCTGGACATCCTCGCTGCTGTCTGAGCCCGAAAACAGAACAGAGGATAACTGCTGCTGAGCTTCCAGAACCTGCTGCACCAAGTCAACGTTCCTGTTGCTGCCCGTGGCGGTGTTGGTGGGGAAGTTGCCAGCCTGGAGCTGCTGGATGGTGTTCTGGAGCTGGCTCACGCCGCTGGCTGACGAGAAGATGCTCGAGGAAATCTGCTGCTGCAGGGCCTGGGGCGGCTCCGAGAGCGTCGGCTGCTGCTGCTGGGAGGCCTCAGTGAGCTGTGACAGAGTCACCACTGTGCCATCCGACTGCAGCACCTCCCTGGGCTGGGAATCCCTGGGCTGGAACTGTGCAGCCTGCTGCAGCAGGGCATCGCTGTTCTGCAGCTGGCCCGGGGTGGACACTGCAGAGAAGCTGCCGGGCTGGGAAATGTCCTGTGTTTGGATCGTGCTCAGGGTCTCTGGGTTGTACACTTTGGGCTGGATTTGCTGCTGGTTTTCACTTTCGGAAGGTAAATGGGAAGCAGAAGTTGATATGCCAGACATGCTGTTTTCCAATGCTTGCTGAGTTGGTCCAACCACATTTGAAGCCTGAAAAGAATAAGACATTCAGTAATTTATAAACTTACTGGCCTTTCCCAAAATTTCCCAAAATCCCCTGATATCCAGGGAAGATCAGAGAGAGATGTGAAACCCAGACACCCCCAAACCAGCAAACAAATTATTTGCAATGGATCTGCTACTTCAAGGACAGAATCACAGCACAATTTAATGAAAGTAACGCTAAGAACTGATTAAAAGAATATTCTTACAGTAATTTATTAGTTCTGTGTCACAGGACAAAAATCCCCATCATAGGGTCACTAACCCATCAATCTGTCTGGGTGCAGGAACTGGGTGAGTTATTGAAGGAAATTGTTTTACTCATGCTCTGTGATTGTGTTTTGCCCAGACTAATCTGGACACGGCACTTTCCCTATCACTCTTCTCCACTACTAAGGCATGAACCAAGGAGCAGATGTAACTCAGAGTCTGAAGGCTGCTGTGCTCAGCCCCCAAGAACCCTGGATCACAGGAGGAGAGCATTTTTGTGCACTTACTTCCATTGGAGCCACATCTTCGTTCTTGATCATACTGCTTGGCATGAGTGGAGTTATCAAGGCACTAGGAAGAATGTTCACCTTCTCCAGGTTACAGCCTGTGGCCTTCACTGCTGCAGCCACAAACAAAACGAGAACAAGAGGGGAAATGGTAAAACTCATCATTCTCTAACTCCCTTTAAGTAAATTACAGAATTACTCTTCAATGTAAAGCAACAGCTCTCCACAACCTAAGCAAATTTAAATCTAACAGTAACGTGGCAGTAAAATTTCTGTGTATGGAGTGAGGAAGGACAGAACAGACCAAGCACACACAGCAAACAAAATTCTCTGACCTCTGGTTCAGAGTCAACCTGGAGCAGAACAGGTACAGGAATGAAGCATCAAAGAGGAGCAGACACAAAAACCCCCATTGAGAAGGTAAATTCAGATTTATTGCATAAATTAACTGAGGACATGAAGGAACAGCAACAGCACACTGCATTCTGAGGAGCAGCAGCTGTTCTCCTGGAGCAGTTGGGATTTTCCCTCAGTTAAGCTCCACACAAAATAAGATGGATGTCAGGATTACCCTGTATATTAGTTTATATATTTGCCTAAATTAACACCACACAGTTTCTAAGTCTTTGTATTAACTGCAATCCTAGGCTTCTTTTTTATTTTTCACTTGCAAACATACTAAATAAAGATTAGACTGCAGAGCCTAATGTATGAAAAATGAAAAAAAAAAATTAGTATTATTTTTTGCAACTCTTTTGCTCTCCATTAGCTTGTACTAAAAAGTCCTGATAGGAATACTGTTATAAAGTCCAAGTTTCAGAGTCAGAAAACAAACCTCCCTTTAAGAATAGGGCCAGATTTTATAAGCACAGACTTATCACAGGATGTCTGATTCATTTCACCAAATCTGGGTAGGAATTCATGGTTAAATTATTAAGAACACTGATAAGAATCAATTTAGTACCTTTTATAGCCTCTTCAAAAGAACAATGTTGGGCTGGGCTGGAGATTTCCTTCTTCACATTAACATTCAGAGTCCCAGCTGCCGAGACAAAACACATTGAGAACTTCCTTACGTTAAATCAGCAAACAAGCCAAAAAAACACAAAGCAAACCAAAACAATTCCTTATAGCTTAAAGAAATTCAGGTTCTTTGAAACCCACACAAACCTTTGCACTGTCCATTGTGATACAGATAAATAAATAAACTAAAATACATGAAGTGGGCAAATTACAGCTTTCCTCAGGATAAAGCCTGGTGGGATTTCTTGGTTTATTCGGTGCATTGTATGGGATATGTTGATTTTTTTTATCCTGCTCATTTTGATCCTTAAACTAGAAATGGATGCTGCTATATAAGAAAAGCTGTCACAAGACAGCTGGAATTTGAGGTATTTGGCACATAAATGAGCAAAGCAAAGCCTTTAGATTTTATTATTAACAGAGCAACACTCGCCAGCGAGAGGGGTTGGGAAAGATCCACGTTACTCAACATTCCTGCTGCATGGACTGCAGGCTGAGAGCTGAAATGGCCACTGGTGCCCCAGAGCACCCACACACCTGGCTCTGGAGTGTAGGTGAAGGGCTGCACGTCGTGAGACCTGCCAGCGTTGGTCACCACGTAAATTCCCACAGAGACAGCTGAGGTGATTTGCTGGTCATGATATGGTGGCACCTTCACAATAAGGTGATTCTGCAAGGCAAAAAACATCACATTTTATCACTACTGATCTTAATTCTACTTACTTACATCAAAAGAGAGAAATTGGCTGCTAAACCACCATAAAACCCCAATGCACATGTGGGATACTGCCCTCAGAGGTGGGAGCAGGATGGCACTTTCCTGACACCATTTGCAGCCAGACAGTCATTAAAGACACTTATATGTGTCAAAAAGAATAAATATTCTGTAAAACATTTCCAAGTGGAACAAAAATTCAGCCAGTTATAAAGACTGTGCTGTACACACAATCTCCTTCCACGGAAAAGTGCTGGGAAAACTGAATTAGGCATTTTAATTCCACTGCATGTAAGGGGAACAAGCTGCTCACCAAACCCACTGTGGGATCCAAGCTCTCAGCTAGAAACTGAACAATTATACTGGTGTAAATCCAAAAGTATATTCTACCAGACTCACAACAGGCCTTATGTAAAGAAAATTAGTATTACTTCTAAAAATGAACAGACAGAGGGAAAGGCTTGATTAATTTTTATTTTAAACAGTCAGTGCATTTTTTAAATTTAAAATTTAATGATGATATTAATAATAGTAATAATAATAATAGTAGTAATAATAATAGTAATAGAGAAGTACCTGATGAAATAATTCCATGTCAATTTCAGCTTCTGCCTTCCAAGAATTCTCATCTAAATGAAAATTAAAAAGCCCAGGTTATTGCACATCCTGTAGAGCAATTTATTTTAGTGCTCCTAGTCTGCTCTCCACAGCTTTACCCAACAGTGAAACCCCAACCCCAGGCTCTGCTCTGCACCCCAAGCCAGCACTGCTTTCACACTAACCAGAAACATTCTCTTGGAAAATCACTTTTGTTCCCTTTAGGAAGTTCTTGCCAATCAGAAAAACTTCCTCTTCACCCTTCACTGAACAGCTGTGGAGACTTTTCTTTAGGATCTCTGGGACTCCTGCTGGCTGAGCTGCAAGGGAAAAAAACAGAGTCTGGAATCAAGAAAATATCAACATCCAAACCAAACCACTTTTACCTACAGGGTTATGAAGGAAAAATTAAAACTCCTGAGCTTCTTTCTTTATCATGGATTTAAAGACAAACTCTTCAGAATATAACCACGTCTATTATTTCTTCACTAAAAGTAACAAACTCACAGAAATCACACTCAGCTCAATGATCCACTAATAATATTTTTCCTTTTCTCCTGCATTTATTAAATCTTCAAGATAAAACTCCCAGTGCTGGAGCCAAAGCTCAACAAGTGCTCAGAAGAGCAGGAAATGTGGTTCTGCAATTCCCTGGTGTAAAGTGATTTCCAGAGGCATCAACCCTTAGACACACCTGAAGCTTACCTGCAAATTCAGCCTCTGGGTCATAAAATTTTATTTTCTTGTGAAGCTTATTTTGTTCTGCTCTGCCAAAGAGCAGAAGGAGTAATTCTCCTATTACCTGGGGGGCTTTGCACAGATTTTTAATAACCCAGGGCTTGGAGCAACCTGGTGTCGCCTGGTCCCTGGCAGGGGGTGGAATGGAATGAGTTTCCAGGTCCCTTCCAAATCTTTGCAATCTCTGGAGTTGGGAATTTTAGCAATTTGAATCAAAAAAAGAAGCCAAGAGGATGCAGTTTTACAGGCACACACCCCTGGATGCCCCCGTGCCAGAGGGTCCAGATGATGGTTTATATCATCCTTATCATAAACTGTCCTTGCTGCAAACCATTCCCACACCAAACAGGACCACGTGTGCTAAATGCAAATGAGCACTGCAGACAATTTAAACAGAGAAACATTTTAAAATGATGTGCTTTGACACATTTGATATAAAATAATTCCAGTTTCCAGCAAAGGTTCCTCAGTCACCTTTTCTCACCACAGCTGCCCAGGGCACACACCCAGACTCGTGCTTCTGCACTTGCTTGGCCCACTTTGAGTGTTTAATAACAATATTCTCTGGGCTTACTACACAGCAGAACATACATCCTGTACCACTCCAAATTATTTAATGACCTTTCAGAAAGGATTTTTCTACAACTCTGGCTGCGGGTTCCCAGGCAACCGTTACGCAAGGACTGAATATGCTCAAGGCACATGAAAAGAGTAACTGGATTTAGGTTTGCTAACAAGTTAACAAAGCCTATTTAAAACACAGCCCTTAAATAAAGAGCCTGTAGCTCCTTAATGCCTTTTCTATGGTTTCAGGAACATTATAAAACACAAGGTAAAAAGGCTCTGAGGAGTGCAAATGCAAACCTTGTTGTGAAGGTACCTTACACATCTGTAGTAAGGTTTATGTAGCAAACCAACGCTGGGTAATGTGCTCGAGGAGATGATTTATATTCAATAAACAACACATTTCATGCCATTTTGAATAGCTAGTAGCCATGTGCCAGCACTATTTGCTTGGCCAAGGTCTACTGCATGTGCCTGTAGCTTTGGCCTAAGTTAAAACAGAAGCACAGAGTCCTGGAAGGAGCCTCAGGAATTGCGCTCTGAGCCTTCACACCGTGATCAGCTTTACCCATATATTCCCCAAAGACACAAGCCTGACCAGAGTGTTTTGTTTCTGTGATCTAAGACTTCCAGCACTGGAGACATGGTAAAATTCCTGGGCAATCTCTTAGCAACTTACACAATTGAGAATATTTTCTTAGCAAGTGACCAAACCCCAGCCTGCCAAAAACCAAACCAATTTACTCTGTGCATCAAATACAGCTTTTTTTTTTTTTTTTTTTAGCTCAACAGCTTATTTTAAAAGCGGTCTCTAGATGTTTCATCTCAGACTCTCAGCTTCTACTCACAATAGCAAGTTTTGGACTGTGAAAGAAAACATCAGGAGACTTCCACTCCCTTTTCTTCTATGGGTGAAATAATTTTATCTTTAACCAGAAAGTTACAAACTAAGGAGATACGGCAATGGCTTTGACATTTTATAGAAAATGTTTTGATCTTAAATCTGAAAATTAGTATGAGATACTCCACTACTGTGAGATACCACCATGGTCTACTGGCTGGAATGGAGCTGCAAAGATAACTGTACTTCTAAAAAATAACTCCAAAAAATCCTTTTTATCCCATGGAAAGAGCACAGTAAGAGTGCCCAGGAGCTTCTCTACTCTTTCCATGCACAGACAAAGCTCTCCATCTCATTCATCAAGATAAGGGATGGAACAAGATGAGTTTTAAGGTCTCTTCCAGCCCAAAGCATTCCATGATTCCACAATCCCCTTTTCCCTGGTGGTCAGTGGAACCTCCCCAGCCAAGGCAGCCATCTGTGCTTGTGCTAAACAGAGCAGTTTAATAAAGAGCTATAAAAAGTTTTGTTCCTTCACTGAACCAGAACAGATTCAGCCTCTGGCCCATGCAAGGACCACAGCTGAGAGAGCCACGCTTGCTGACTTATTTCAAGACCTATCTAGCACTGAAAGCTGAGGCATGAATGTGACAATACAGAAGAGACTGAAAGTTGTATAATTTTTCAAAGCAATCATGACAAAAATGGTTAAATTTCAGGAGGCAAAAATTCATTTAACTGAAGATTAGGGAATGTATAACTATTTTTCAATACTGGACAACAATTTTAACTAATATTCCTCCACAACAAAAAAAAAATCAATCCACTTGATTTTAGCTACAGCAATTCTGCAATTATCACAGATTAACACAAGGTTGGTTTTTTACCCTCCCCTCCAAGGTATTTTCACAGAATCACAGCATCATTTAGGTTTGAAAAGACCTTGGAGACCATCCAGCCCAAGCTGTGCCCAATGCCCACCTTGTCCCCAGCCCAGAGCTCTGAGTGCCACCTCCAGGCATGGGCACTCCAGACCTCCCTGGGCAGCCCCTGCCAAGGCCTGCCCGCCCTTTCCATGCTGAGACCACACCAAAGGCCAGCCCCCTGCGTTCCCAGCTCCTGGGCTGGACACTCACTGCACAGAATGGGGGAAGAAGGCGTCTGCAGGGTCAGCGTGGAGCCGTCCTTGCGCGTGATGTTGACGCGAAAGACGAGGCGAGCGCGGGTGCTTTTCTTCTTGGAGCCGGCAATGCCTATCCTGGCTTCCACATCAGCATTCCTCAGCTTCAGGATTCCCACACAATCAACCCTAACAACACAGAGCACAGCACAGTTTCATAGTTTACAAAGTTCGGCATCTTTAACAATCTCTCAAGTAGTTTCATAAGCCAAAGTCAAAAGCCTTGAGGTAATTACAGAAATGTTATTAGATTTCTTTTTATTTACATGAAATCTATGACCTTTTTCAAGTTTTCATTCAACCCTGCCTAATTTGGATGATGAATCATGGCAGAAAGGCATATGAAAGCATGAATAAAACAGAAAGTGCAATATAATTCTGGTAAGCATTCAATTTAGAATCACAGCTCTTCATTCTTCCATCCCCAGGGCGAGATCTGTGTTTGTAGGATTATTGCTTCAAAATATTCTGCATTCACTTAAAGAAAGCAGGAGTAGAAAAAAACTTACTGTAGTCATATTATTTATGTTCAGTGGGACTTGGAAGTGACAGATAAGTCCTCCCATAAGTGTGGTCCTAGGGGAGATGTACAGGGCCAGGTGAGTGATGCAGTGCTGGCTTTCAGACAGGCTCCATGCAAAATGATTTAAAGCAAAAAAACAGCCAAAAAAAAAAAAAAAAGGAAAAAAAAACCCAAAAACCAAGAACAGTAGCAGCAAACACAGCGTGATGTGTTAAAAAGAAGAATATTGCAATTTACCCAGGATTTTGGGTTGTGTGTCCCAAAAGCACAGGGACCTCCTGGTATCTCCTTTGAGTACACTGAATTACCAACAAGAGCCGAGGAGCCGAGAGCGCCGAGATGTTCAGACTTTACTATAACCCAATGGAAAAAGGAAATGCCTTCCCAAACCCAAGCTAATCAATGAGAACACTCCTGGGAAGAGCTACTCACGCCAGGGTCATGTTGTTGCTTGGGTCCAGCCCCACCTCGATGACGGTGGTGCCCTCGATGTCCACCTCCTTGCAGGGCGTGGTGTTCCTGCCCGTCACCCTGCAGGCCTGGTAGAAGCCGTGCGGCTTCACGCGCCCGGAGTCGTTGCCCACGAACACCTGCAGCACCACGGGCTCGTTGTGGCCTTCCAGCTGTAACGTGCCAGGTGGGCAATTAGCAAGGGAATGGCTGATTTCGTTGTTATTGTTAATATCTGGTTTCTAAAGCAGCCTGAAGCCTGTCTACTTTCAGACAGAATGATCCCAACTGCAACTCTCGCGTCTCTTACAACCTCCTGCTCTCACCCCAGCTGGGACTATTCCCTTGTGTCTTGCCAGGATTCTCCTTCCCACCCCAGCATCCACCTCCACCAGTCAGCCAAGAAAGAGAGCATTTCCTGGGGCTGATGATCATTATGTGTACAGCCACTGGCATTCCAGGACCCCACCTCCATGCCAGATGCATTTTGAAACCCTCATGAAACCAGATTAGAATTGTCCAATACTTGCAAAACCCCTGAAGGAGTTAGAATAGAACGAAAGGGAAGCAGAGGGAGAAATGGGATGATTGAATGGTCCAACCATCCAAGCACATAAACCCAGCTTTCCTTCAGACACTAAAACAAAAATTGAAAATGGTAACCTGACACCTCCTACTTAAAAGATAACAATGTCAGGATTCACTGAAACACTTCATAAATAAGAGCAGGTCAGACATTTTAACATCCTTCTGCAACCCCGTGTGCAAGCCATTATTATCCCAGAACATGTCAGTGAAAAATACGTTTGTTTTTGTTTTGTTGTAACATCAACACCCTGGTATGAAATGGTTTGTGTCCTCTTAATGCTTTTTTTATATTAGTGGGATCCCACTGGTGCCACAGGCTAAAAATTCTCTGAGGTAAAAGAAGTCCTGAGGTAAATATGATCATAGCACTACAAAGGAAATTCTCCTTCTTTTTAGGAAATAGTTAAGAAAAATACTCCAAGTGAAAAGAAACATTAGATTGTTGCCAAATTCCCAGGCGAGAGATGGAAATTCCTTGCCAGAGCATTCTAGGAGATAAAATGAGTATTTTAGTGTTTCCACTAAGACACATTTGTTCCTCAAGGACTTCTGGGTGACAGTGTTGTCTTTTGTCCCAAACCTGGAAGCCCAGGCAACACCTGCAGAGCTCCAGTTTTAGCAGTGAGGAGATGCAAATGAGAGCAGAATCCTCTGCAGAATCTCTTGGGGGATTATTCCCTGACACACTTTAAAAATGTAGTTCTGAAGTTTGTAGTAAGTTTGAATAAAGGAAAAAATAAATAAACCAGCAAATACTTTTAAGATCATTGTGTGCTCATATCCAAGAGGAGCAAATAGCAAATGTGACAGTCAGAGATAAGCAAAGCCCCAAGAACTCTGGAGGTGGCCCAGCACAGGAATCCACATGGGAAGCACAGGCATAGCTCACAACAAGGGGCTCAGCAGCCAGCACCCTGATTAAGGATTGGTTATACAATTTTAATGTTGCATACTGATTGTAGACTCAGGTTCTAAGTGACCAAGGACAGAGCTTTATTTAAATGGCCACTGAACCTGCTTCTCCTCCTGTGTTAGGGCCACACACCTGAGCCACTCCCAAACACCAGGTCTCTGCTGAGCACCAACATCTCTATACTGCTCTTCCCCACCAGCAAAACAAAAAAACCCCTTGTCTCTAACGTATTTTTTTCTCACTAGCTCAGATTTCCTGAAGATTCACTGACTCATCTGTCTGTCCAGCCCTGGCAGAGTTTTATCTGCAGGGTATGAACTCCTCTGCCCACTGGTAAAGCAAACTGGAACTTCCAGGAATTCAGTAACATGAGACTCTTCCAAACAGAATTTTCACTGATGGGTGCTAAAGGGTAACTGGGAAAGGAGTTAAAAGGAAATTCAGATGAACAAAGGCCCATTAAGAAAAGCCACATAAATGAGCACTAAATCCCCATAGCAACAGGCTGATATGAATGGATTCTTTTCTTATGAAACTTTACTGGAGTTCTGCATTACTCAGGACTGAGCGAAGGACTGCTGGTGTTCCTAACACTGCTGAGCAGGACTTTGAAGATAAAACTACTTCTGTATTCTGTCAGCAACAGTCAGCACAAATTTTAAGGGCTGTGTCACAAACAAATTTCTCCTTGTGGACCTGGTAAGTTAGTTTGGGTTGAGAACTGCTTTGCTGCTTTCTCAAAGTGACATAACTAAGAAAAAATATGAAATGAAATATTTTTCACCCTCCTTATCTATGTGATAACAAACCTAGATGTCTACTCGCTCAACCTGCTGGCCACACTCCTCCCAGTATGCCCAGTATGCCATTTGCCATGGTGCCAGTGCAGTGCTGGCCTGGACTCGGTTCTCTGGTGATTCTCACAACCACTTGTGGGAGGATATTTGACATCAGCTCTTCTGTTTGTCACCCTAAGTCAAGCCCAGCCTTGCTCCTGGTAGGCCTCTCTACCATTTCCATTAGGAAACCTTCCCAAGTTCTCCAATAGATTTCACCAGGCTACACAGGGAAGAAACAAGACCTGCAAATTCCCACCCTGTGCATCCGTGTGCAGTCCCCGGAGGACACCCTCAGTCTTCCTTCCTGAGCAGAAACGTCAAAGATCTCCTTGTAACCTTCTTGTGTTTCTCCTCAGAGCAGGCCTTCAGCACCTGAATTTTAAGGCATCCAAGTCCATAGAGGAAATGGTCTGCCACTGTCAAGTGTGCACATAAATGCTGCCTCTTTCTTTGCCCCCTTTCTCCAGTTCTAATCCACATCTACCTCTACTCCACCTGTGCCATGCTAAACACACTGAGCAGTACTGAGTGTAAAACACACCTCAGTGAGATCTCCATGACTCACCTGAAAGACACTGTGTGTCAACTCAGATACTGCAGAATTAAAAACAGCAGAAAATAGCAAGTAGTAAAAAAATTATAAAAAAAATCTCCCTTACCATTTATTTTTTTTTAAATGAAGCCTGGTGTTATGTCTTTACTGTCACTGGGAAATGATGGCCTATTGTCACCATCTATCACACAGCCAGAGCATTTCACTATCTCACTTTTGTGGGTATGCAATGTTTTATGATCTGCATAGGTATGATCTGTAGCCTAACAGGATGTGCCTCCCAGGTTTTATACCCCTGCCTTGGCATGGAGCTTCCCTCCTCCTGTTACTCTGTGATGCCAGGAGGACTCACGACCTGCAAGAAGAGACCCAGCCCAGCCCCTCCAGCCCAGAGACTGCAAATGCTGCTCCCTCCCCACTCCAGAGACGGGAAGCCCACGGAGCTGAGGCTGCCCTGGCCCTGGGGCAGCCCTCAAGTGTCCCCAGCCTACCTTGACGGTGGGGAAGCCCTGCTGCGTGCGGTCCTTGACGGAGCCCCGGCTGCCCTCGGTCAGGTACCGAGCCCTGTGCTGGGTCTCCGGCTGCACCATGATCTTCAGCTCCTTCCCCTCACTCTTAGTCGGGTACTGACCACACAACATTGGGGTCTTCTTCCCTCCAGCTCCCTTCTGGTTCTCTGATGCTCTGAGGAGTCAAAACACACCATCAAGATGTTAGAAGCAGCTCCTCAGTAAAAACGCTCCAAATCACAGAAAAGCTAAAAAGGCAAAGAGTGCGTATTAAAGGATGGAAGATTTGTAGTTGAGAGCAAACTTTGGAATTCTCTTTCTGCCAGAGGAGACCTGCAGGATGAAGAGGAATGGTGCTTCCCTGCCTCCTCCATCCAGAGCACGTGGGAACTGCTTTTCAGAGAGCAAACATAAAGGAAGGGAAAAGCAATTAGCATTAAACGATGTTAACGAACAGAAGGCAGCTCATAACCTGCTTTTTCAGAGTCTATGACACAGCCTGAACAAGCTGCTCTGCTGCTGTGACAAACACACACGTACACACACACTGGATGGATTTAAGGCTAAATGACACTTCTTTAAACAGGAAAATAGCCTCATGCCTGTCTCCACCTCAACCTGTATATCCATGCAAACTCCAGCTCCGATTTCTGTCTACACAGATTGACCAGTTTATGCTAAACCCCAGTTAGTTATTGCAAAAGCTCTGGCATAATTGCACCCATGTTAAATCAGTGTATGCACAAGGCCTTTCTTTGCAGGTGCATTCCATAATATGCAGTGGCTTGTTCTCAGTTCCATAATTAAAACCAGGGTGAAGGAGCCCTCCCAGTCTAGCAGTACATGAGCCACTTTGTGTTCCCTTAGAGCACAATGGGAAATAATCCTTGATCCTACTCAGACCAGGATTTGGTAATGAACCTCAAGTCCAAGAAACTCCGTTCCCACCAGGAAACATGAATGTGCTGCAGTACATGGTGCAGGCAAGAAAAGGGCTCCATGATTCATGCAAATGTCATATTCTTCCTTCCTAGCCAAACATGATTTCTAACAGCTAATGCCTGGGAAGAAAGCAGTTTTAAATAACAGGTGTGGATTGCTTAAAAAACAAATCCCATTTCAACGTGCAAGTTACTGAAGTAATTTATCCAGGATTTTTTCCTTCTCAAAAAGGGTGAAAACTGCTTTTTTTTCAAAATTGCTCCCTGGGAGCTTTGCCATTAAGTCTTCCAAAACTATTGACTACACATTAAGAAAGGGTTAAAACAGAGACTTTGTGTTTTGGATATTTCCATTCTCATTTTCTGTCCATGAAGGTTAAGCACTTCACTGTGGATGGCCTTGGCTGCCTTCCACACTCATCTTCAACCATCAGTACTCAGCAGAGGCAGGAACTAGATAAAAACTAGCATAAAACCCTGCAAAATAATAATAATATCATCTTACAACAAAACTATCTTCCTGCCAAGCAGTCCTGATTCCTCTGCTCAGTGGAGTCATTGGGCAGACTGGGACAGAGTTGAATTTTGAAGGGAAATGTTGGGGAGCTGGCCTTCCAAATGAAATTCACCTTCACCACTCCCAGTGCCACGTTTCAGCAGAGTGACATTAACATTGACCTCTGCAGGAGAACTGTACCTTAAATCCCAACTACCTCAATTGCCAGCACATTAATATTTTATCACTATCATATTTAAGCAGAGAGATGCTCCTCACAATTATTTAAGACTTTCCTCTAGAAACTTAATCATTATTTTCAATTAGTCAAACCTGGAGGCAATTTAAAGCCTTCACCCAGGACTTCTCAGTGGTCTTTCTCCTCAAAATATGAGGCTGAATCACTTAATACATCCTTTCAATTAATGAATTAATTTTAATTGCGTTTATTCAGACTGCAAATATTCACACCTGTACATTTCATATGCACACATTTATTAATCTGATTGTTACCAGACAAAATATCCTCTAATCCAGCATTGCTTTTTTTAAAGGAATAAATGTAAATCCTATGAATCTACTCCAACAGATCTCCTGAGCAGTTTGGCCTGGTCCTGCTCTGCCATCAGGGCTGCTCACAGGGCAGACCTGAAAGTGAAAGTGAGACCACAGAAACCTGAGTCTCTGCCCTGAATCACCACCAATTCATCCACTTCTGAAAAGGCTTTCACGAATTCCAAGTTTCCACAGGAATATATTCTTTCTCTTCCTGGCTTTTAACAACAACTGTCTCTTTAGGGGCAAATGCCATTTCCATTCACCACGGAGCATGGCACCTTTCCTTGCTCTTTTCTTTAAGCCAAAAGTAAATGAACTCCCTTGGCTGAGCTCCACCAGGCTGGGAAGTTTAAAAAACTCCAGTCACTGCAGTGACCCAGATTTGTAATGCCAAATCTCCATATTCCAACAGCAAAATTAAGTTTGCTAAAATCTTGGCCACTTCTTATCCCAGAGCATTTATTTCCAAGGATGGTTCTGTTACCTGGGAGTTTTCCTGCAGCTCAGTCTGGCCTGTGACACATAAGGAAAAACATTTCACTTTCCTCCCCTCTGCACTCACAGAACCCATGGATTTTCCTGGTCAGCCCAGTGCTCCTGGGGAAGTCTTGTTCTGTTTTTAGACCGAGATTTCACATATTCTTTCAGAGTTTACAAAACCTCCCTGAGATCACACTCAGAGTGGCACAGTTCTTGTGTTTTCATAAAGCTTTTCCCTGTCTAAGGGCCAGCCTGGTCCCTCGGAGCTGGGGGAGGCACTTTGCTCACTCCAAGCTGCTCAGGGTCTACCAGGTACTAATATTTTACTTCATTACCATCAATTTTGGCTGGTGAAAACCCCGAGGCCAGAGGCCACCATGCCCAGGAAGCAGCAGCAGCACACATGTTCTCAGAACTGCTTTTCACAGTGAAATTTTAAGCATGGAACTGCACTGACCCTGGGAATACAGACTCCAGGCTCTTTCCCTTTGGGATATGAGAAGTTCATCATCTTTGCCATCAGTCAAATTTTAATATTCACCGTTGCTGTGATGAACGTCAGAACGTACTGCAAGCACAGACACAAAAGTGAAACCAAAATGCACTCCTGCCCCAAAAAAAAGCCCAAAATAAAAGAGCCAAATCTATCCATTTGACCACTTTAAAAGTACTAAAGAAGCAACAAGTTAAAAAAAAATAAAACAAAAGAAGAAATGTATCAACGCACTCTTGCAAACTTATGGAACTGTCCTCTTTAAGCAGCTACTGGAATGCATTTAGTGAACAGTGTGGAGTGGGAGATGAGGGGCCACCACCCAGGCGTGCCCACGCAGACACACGCACACGACCCAGAAGCACAGAGAGAAACAGCATTAGAGATTTATTTCTGAAAAAATCAAATACAGAAGTGAATTCACAGGGAAAAACCAAAAAAACTGGTTCACCATATTGTCTTAACATTTCATTAAAAAGTAAAGCAAGCGGTAATTTAAATTATGAGGAATCTTAATGAGGTGTTAACCATTAGCTTCTACTCCCATACCTATCTCTATTTGACAAATAGAGCAGCAGGTGAAGTGTACAGACTGAAATCCTCACATAAAATCCTGCAAAAAAAACATTCAGGGTGCACCAACTTCACTCTGCCTTTCTTTTTAAATACATTTTCATTGCCATTTTATAAATGGAATTGTGTGGCCTTTTGGGAATTTCACTTAAAGAACAGATGAGCTCATCAGCGCTGCATTTAATTGCTGCAGGAAAGTTTAGCTGTATCTTCTAAATAAAGGTTAACAAGTCTAATGAGAACTTGTCACAGAATCATGGAGTGGTTTGCGTTGAAAGGGACCTTCAAGAGATCCAGTTCCACCTTCTGCCACGGGCAGGGACACCTTCCACTAGCCCAGGTTGCTCCAAGCCCCATTCAACCCGGCCTTGGACACTTCCAGGGATGGGGCAGCCACAAGTTCTGGGGCAGGAAGAACTTATCCCGGGCTAGGACATGACAGGGACAGCAGAGAAGGGAGGGGTTGATGTGAGAACCTAAGCACAACATTTGCCGGGGCACGGGGACACTTTTATTAGTGTGGGTTTACATACGGAGATAGAATGTTTTTTCTTTTAAAAAAAACCAAAAAAACAAAACAGATACCAACCCATTTCCTGCTTTTGAGTTGCTTTTGCTGTCCGTGCTGAGCTGAGAAAGGACATAGTGAGGCGCTTTGGCACTGTCGGCATCAAAGATATCCATGTTGGACTCCTCGCAATCTCGGCGTTTGATCCCTGGCCTCTGCTTTGGGTTGCGCTTGCGCGATTTACGTGGCACCTCAGTGTTATCATTGTAGGAACTGGTACTCATGTTACTGAAGTTGGAGGGTGAATCCTCCATCCACATACTGCAGCTCTGTTCTGACTCCAATCCACAGCCCTCATCCTGGCAGGACATCCGGCTGTTGTCCAGCAAGTCCTCGGGAGGTGGCGAGATGTAGAGGACAGTGTGGCGCTTCGGCGTGGCCGGCTGCTGCTGGGCTGTGTTACTGGTTATCTGCTGCTCACTTACCCCTCGGGTACTTACCCCCACGGCCGCGGAGCAGCTCTCCACTTGCATAGCCTTGCTGTCGGTGACTGAGGTAGAGTAAATGGTAGGGCTGGAAGAGGTGGTAAAGGAGCTGCAAGCACCGCCCATGGAGGAAGAGGAGGGAGCTGAAGAAGCATCTGCGGTGTACAATTCACAAGTAAATACAGGACCCGTGGCGGGGCGTGCGCTGGCTATAGCAGTCCCAGTGAGATCAAGGTGATTTAGGAACCGATTGCTTTTCCCCCAAGAAATGTTTGGAATTTGGTTCAGTTTTGGAATGGAAGTGCTTAAAGCAATACGGCCTAGCCAATGCTTTGGAAATGTCCAAACGAGTCTTAGCACGATCCACTGTAATCAAATTTTTTTTTTTTTTTTTTTTAACGACTTAGTGTTAATTCATACAAATGGCTGCGAGTAAACAGAGCTTTCATTGCCTCAGCTGGACTCATTATTGGTGTAGAAGCCATTTCATCTAAAATAGCCCCAAAGCAAAGTGCTTATAATCCACATTCAATGCCAATTAAACAATTTACTGTTGGAAATTTTTAATTTTTTTTTTTTTTTTTTGAAAAAGATGGGACTGTGCTTAGCCACAAAATATTAAAATAAGTTTCTAACCTATGAAGCAGAGAACTACAGGTCATTTTTAATGCAGACACTCCCTGCTTCAGAGGCAAATCCTGGAATAAAAATATGAGAAAATAAATGAGAAAAAGAGCTGCTGATTATTCCATCATAAATGAGAAATAAAATATAAAATCAACTGAGTTGGTAGGCAAAATGGAACTGGTATCAGTCACTATGAGTGAGCTGTCGACTTTGAAGATTCAAAACAGGGATTAAATATCTGTGTTGGAGACACACTGATCCAAGGCCTGGGAACTTCTGTAATTTGACTTGTTCAGTCACTGGGACCAATTTCTCTCAGACTTTATTGGTCCCTTCCACAGAGGGAACAGAGAGACCTCTGAAAAATCCACATTAAACAGAGATTTCCAACACTGTGACTGCGACTTCTGCAGAGGCCCCAGAGCTCAATTTGGTTTAGAAACACGAAAATTATTAAGCAAACCCCTGAAGATTTCTGCAGAACACCAAAATCGTTGCCACTGAAGAATTTTAATGGACAAATCAATGGAATACATAAGTGAAATATCCCAGGGGAAGCAGGCCATGCAAACATATGTATTTATTTCAATCAGCTGTAGCTCACTGAGGAATAACTGAATTTTATAGTCAGATTTTAGCTTCCTGTGGGGACACCCTGTTTTGTGTATTTCTGCACTGCCACCCACACCTGATAAACCAGAAGCACTGAAATAATAACCTAATTGTGGAAACAAATTGTACATTAACTACATACATAATAATACAATATGTTTGTTCAGCTAGTTACTGCTGTCATACAGGTAATCACTATTACCAAAAAGAACACGATGTTTTCCTTTTTGTTGCTTGGGATTTTTTTAAAGTCCAAAATATTATAATAGTCTCTCAAGTCTAAAAGATTTAGAGACTGTTGGACTATTCTATGTAGTTTTAGTTATTTAAAAGTAACAGAATAAACTATGTTCAGCCATGATATACACATTTAATTAACAGTAAAACTCAGCCCACTTTCCTATACTGGCAATTACTGGGAGTATCAATGATTGATAATAAAGAATTTTTAAACCTTTACTGTTTTCTACAGCTTTCCTGTGCTAAATGAATGAAGAAGCAAACTTACACCACTTCAGACTGTCAAATTTAGAGGTCATGACAGTTTATCAATAAACTATTCTGCCTTCCCCAAGCCTCCCAGTGAACCAGGAGCAGCTGAATGATACCAGTTCCATTTTCCAGCTTGTTCTTTGGCAAATACAGTGGCTGAAATTGGAGAATTCAGTCACTTTGCATTCCAATTTAAAGGCAAATTTCTCCTTTCCATATCATGCATTAAAGCAATGCTTCTTTCAAAAACATTTATAGGATTGGCAAGAACTATTAAATCTAGATATTCATTTCAGTGACAATATTTAGGAGCTGATTTGCAGCCACTTTGAGTTGAGACAGCCCGTTGCTATTTGAGATGTCCGATTTGGTGAAGAGGATTAGTTTCCACCCATCATTTATACCTCCAAAGAGAAGCACGAGTGTCAAGTGTGCCCAGGGAGGCCCTGGAGCTCAGGACTGGGGGGCTCAATGCCAGGATTTGCCCCAGGAAAGGTCAGGAAAGGAATTGAGGGAAGAGCCCGAGGCAGCGCCGGGGTCTGTGGGCCAAGGACTCAGACCATGAATCCATTACACACACGGGGCAGGCACAGCAGGGCTTCCACTGCAGGATCCTCCTCCACCACATTAATATCACATTTATCTTTTCACAGCAATCCTGGGAGTGTAAGGAAACCTTGGACACTCCAGGCTCAGCTCTGCGGGGGCCACGTACACCAAGCCCTGGGCTCAGCTGGTGCTGCAGTGCATCTCCTGGCCAGGAATGCAAAACCTGCACTTTTCCCTCACTTTCCTAGGGAAAAAAATAAATATATCACTGAACCAAATGCTTTTCAGCACGAAGCTAAAAGAGCTGGTGATGGTAGTGCTGTTTTAGGGGGCAGCATTGTGGAATATTATCATTACTGCGATTATCATCATTGCTGCTCTCCAAAATAATTTCTCTGCCTTTCTTTTTCTAGAAGTTCAAAAGCACTTATGTGTATGAACACGTGTATGTGGGCTTTTAGACTTTCAAAAGTAAATAATCATTGTCCATTACAAATTGGTTACATTCTGCTCCATTTATCAGAGATGCCCTTGTGTAATGGTAAGATTAGATTTTGGAAATAAACCCAAATTGAACAGTAATGTCAAGGAAACTTCTCTTTAGCCTTATATAATAAATTAATGCCATTACCACCCATAAATAGGAAGTATGATAAATATTACAGCAAATGGAATAAACTGGCTGTATTGGAACAGTCAAATACACAGATTTAAAAACTTTTGGGGACATAAATTAGTAATTCCTTCAGTAACAGCAAGTTATGAAAATACTAAGAAACAGTGAAATCTATTTTTTCTGAGTATGCAGGCCTTGAGCCAACTCATCTTCCTTTGAACTAATAAATAAACTGGGTCAATCAAATAAGAATTCACCACGTTACTGCAATGAATAAACAGTGCTTTACATGGCTCCCATTTGGGTCCAGCATTTTATTCCAAAGCCAGTGACATTTGCATTTGACACCCAAAAGAGATTTCTAGGATGAATGTGCTGCATTTTGGAAAATAAGTTATTTAGTAATTTGAACTTAATTTGTGTTGCTTTACAAGGTGAGAGCGTACACACACCTTCCCCAGCTTTGAGCATTCCTTTTATTTTACATTCTTTTGACACATATTCATGGGAATTGATACAGGTGGCTCATGACAAATACATAGATCTATTTTTAAGTGAGTAGGTACATTCTGAAATAGACTGAAGATATTTCATTTAACACAGTCTCAAAATCAAACTTGCTTTCAGAGCAATGACACTGAACAGAAGCCAAGTGCTTGTCATGGCAAGTGTGCAGCCTCAGGAATAGAAATGAAATGTGCATCAGCATCACAAGGTGGGGTTTTTTTTCCTCCTTTTTTAAATAAAAACAAGAGAAAATAATATTGTACATTGGAGCAACTGTGATGACTGCTGAAACTAAACCGCCTGAATTTTTTCACTGCCATCACTGTAACATTAAAGGGAGTTGGAAGAATCAATTCAGATTTTGTTGACTGTGCTACAAATTCTTCTCCCCTAAAACAGGCAGAATTGTATCAATCAGTCCAGCACAAGGACTAAAAGAAAGGGAGCACACAGCAAAGAGTGAGTAAACCAGGGCAGGCTTTTTCTTTTCAGTACCAAAAAAACCAGAAAATTTATTACCTCCTGCATTAGCAACCAAGGCAGTGTGACATATTTTCTATAACCCAGTCTCCTATGAAGTCAAACAAGGCATTCAGCCTCTAAAAAAAAAGGGTTTGGAAAGGCAGGAGAGGGAAAAAAAAAAAATCACTACTTGGCATTGAGGGTGTCTTTTTAGGTAACACTTCTGTGGAGCCAATCCTGAAATCCTTGTTCACTCTTTTCAAATAGCCTTAAATACAACAAGGATTACCAAGTCCTCAAACAGAAACAGTGTCCTGATGACTCTGCTTTTTAATTGCAAAAGCAGGTCATTTCCCAGGCTGGAAAGCTTAAGATTATAAAGACAAATAAATAAATTGAAGCTATTTTTGGTTTCACAAGTTTTCCTGCCACCTGTGCATGGACAGCCAGGACAAAAAGTCAGTAAAGAAGTATTTTTTTTCTCATAACCTCCCCTGCATCCCATGGTATCCTCTATGTTCTGTGCAGAAAACTAGTGTCAAAAATGAAAACAACAGGGTGAGGATTAAGTGGTGCATAAGCTTAATATGTGAAGTATAACTTCTATAAATGTGTTAATGTATCTAACATGTCATGTCCTTGGGCAGATTTTTTATGTTAATTGGTTTATTTGAACCTCTGGACACAGAAGAACAATTTCAGGACAGACCCAGAAGAAAACTGTGCAAAATTTCCACCATCAACCTTTGTGTTGTCAAAGGTTTTAAAGGTAAAACCCAGAACTTACAAAGTGGCTGCAAACCTGCTTTCAACACCTCACATGCCAAACTTGGGGTTCTACTTTTCTTCTTCTTGTATTACTGATGTCATGTCAAAAACTTTTCCAAAAAGTTTAGTTTCAAATCAGTATCAATCCACTATTCAGAAATAAACAAAAAAAATTTTTAAAAATTAAAAAAAAAAAAAAAAAANAAAAAAGAAAGAAAGAAAAGAGACTTATGAAGAAGTCTGAAAACAAGACCGACCTATACCCTGGGTGAGATTGGATGGGTTAAGTGTCTCTGGCACTATTTGTCTTCACTATTGACAGACACTGTCACACAACCCACCACTCGATGCCTGTCTCTGAATGGCGAAGCTAGAATGCAAGTTAAGTGTATTAATAGAGAAAAAAACTAGCATCCCAGCAAATATCATAAAGCAATCCAATTCACCAGTTATTAAACACACTCAGATTCAAGATAGGTAGGTTAATTTAATTTACATTAAGCCCAACAGTGTAAATTCCCCTTTACATTCCCATGCTGACCCAAGCAGTGTATTATTATACTTTGGGTAAATACATCAATCAATGGTTTTGTTATGACTCCCCTTATGCAATTAACACTCGAGTTTAGGTCTCTGAGGAGGACTTTTGTTAGTGGCTCACACACAACCAATTCCATGGATCTTAGATCCTTCCCACTCAGTGTCAAAGGCTGATTCCAAGCAAGCAGAACTCTGGGACCCACAGCTGCTCTCTCCAAGCCCTGCCTGCCTCCCCAGCTCCCTGCATCCATGGACCTGGCAAAGAACACCTCCATTCAAGATTCAATTAAAATTAACTACTTTATCTTTTAGATACAGGGGTGGCTATTTCCTAAGAAATCAAGAATTGCTCTTGGCCCTCACGATGCTGCTACAGAAGGAGGTGCCCAAGTAGTGGCACAATAGGATTGTTCTTGCCTCTTGCTGCCTTGGTTTTCCATTATTCCTTACAGAACAGGGAATTCTCCTGTCACAAGTAATTTCTCAAATCCTTCTGATCTAATAACAGAAGCCATTTAATGCAAG